ACTCTGAATTTGACTCCACTTCGGAGTTGACCTAATATGGTATAACCCTCAATTTGCATGGTGGCACGAGGGCTTCTAAATTTAATTCAAAGGTGAAACGTACTGGAAAGTGGTCAGTATCATAATTACGAGCTTTTGGTATGTTTCACCTTGACTAAGTTCTTACTTTATTAACTAATGGAATTACTGCTTTGTTTTTGCGTTACTTTCAAGCTGAAAAAAAAAAAAGGTATCAAATATTTTCCTCTTCATCTATCTTATTTAAAACTTATGTATGCATACTAAGTCAGGTTGAGATCGTATGCAAACTTTCTACTTGTAGTGTTATTTTTTTTAGCTTGTCTGATCAAGGACATTAGCTGTTGTTTCGTGGGGTACTTCACTGTGCCCTTCTTGACCTTGTGTTTGAGGGATACCTTGCGGCTGTTTTCGCATTCTAGTGCCCTTTTCTTATTGGTCAACTACAGGGAAGGTACGTATTCTGAATGCAGTTTTGGTGTTTGACACTGTTTGTACTAGATAATGATTCTTGTCTTTGAGAAAAGCAGATTTTTTTGAGCAGCCAACATCATACAATAGTCACGCGGTTTAAAATAATCAATTAAAACAATAAATAATATTCAGCTTATAAATAGACATGTCCTAGTACAACGAATCAGGTGTCTTTTGAAGCAACCATTTTAAACTATAAATGATAAAGTGCTTAACGTGCAAATGTTCTCAAAACACCAACTGAATATACATGTAAATACTTTTTTAAAAATAATGCCCAAACAATTCACACTATTTCAAAATACTCATATTTTCTATATACAACTTATATTAATTGGTATTTAACACAGGTTTTAACTCTTCTACACATAAGTGTTGCCTTACCTAGTAGACTTGATATTTAAATAACGTTTTTAAAAAGCTAGCTCAATGGTTAATGCAAAATTTACTTTTAAGTTTGGGTGCAAAGAGAGTCCAAAATTAATTCAACTGAAGAATGGTACAATAAATGAAAAATCAAAATTAATGCACAAAAAAAACTCAGGTTTTTAGTTTTACTAACTCATTTAAAAATTAACAAAACTTTACTCCAACCATACTTTAACGGGACACTGGTCCAGATAACCATATAATCTAAATTTTGGTCCAGATAACCATATAATCTAAGTTTTGGTCCAGGTAACCATATAATCTAAGTTTTGGTCCAGATAACCACATAATCTAAGTTTTGGTCCAGATAACCATATAATCTAAGTTTTGGTCCAGATAACCACATAATCTAAGTTTTGGTCCAGATAACCATATAATCTAAGTTTTGGTCCAGATAACCACATAATCTAAGTTTTGGTCCAGATAACCACATAATCTAAGTTTTAGTCCAGATAACCACATAATCTAAGTTTTGGTCCAGATAACCATATAATCTAAGTTTTGGTCCAGATAACTACATAATCTAAGTTTTGGTCCAGATAACCATATAATCTATATTTTGGTCCAGATAACCACATAATCTAAGTTTTGGTCCAGATAACCATATCATCTAAGTTTGGGTCCAGATAACCATATAATCTAAGTTTTGGTCCAGATAACCACATAATCTAAGTTTTGGTCCAGATAACCATATAATCTAAGTTTTGGTCCAGATAACCATATAATCTATATTTTGGTCCAGATAACCAC